TGTATTTAGGTATGAGATCTATGCATTTTCTTACTTATGTTAGTTATACTTGGATTGTTTGTCATGTGTGTCACCAAACTGAAACGCAGGTAACATAACCTAAGTTTTAATATTATAGATATTTATTTAATAAATTTAATTTTAGTTTGAAATAACTGGCGATATTTTACACACAATTGAAGATTTGAATGTTCATAATAATATGAAAGAACTAAATCGTGAATTGATGGTGTTTTCATTACAAATATTAAATCAAAAGCAACAATTTACTGCTGCTGATTGTTTCGATGTGAATTATACACTGTTATTTAAGATTGTGGGGGCATTATCAACATATCTTATTATTTTAATGCAATTTAGAACTTAATTTATCATTTTTTCTACTTCCACCTATAAAGCGCCAGTTTTCCCATGGTTTTTAGACCCAAAAAGCAGTACTTTACATACGGACGGCCAAGCCGTACATAATATTCATTATGTATTTGTATTATGCACGGGACTGAGCAAGCGCCTGCGCATTTGCCAACGGAGCAGCACAAGGCGGCATGAAATGCTATGCGACAGTCAAACACGTCAAAGCCGGCGCTGCTACTGCTCGTATCGCAGGGGCATGATATGAACCGAAGCGTCACATGTGCCGACGCGCGACATGGCACGTATAACCTTACAGTTTGTATAAGTGTGCGAGCAAATTTCGATGATTTAAAATACAAAAGTTGAAATACGAAAACCGCAACGTGGAACTAGAGTGGAAGTAGAAAAAATAACGCAAGCACCTCGTGGCTAAACGTTGTTAAAGACCTCGGAGGCGTGTAGTTTCAGGGTTGACATTAACATCTCAGCATGACGATGTCAATGAATTAATCTAAAATGGAAGAATTTTAATTTCGAAAATTGTTCAGTTAACATCACAATACTACTTACAAACTTGATTATTTAAATTAATTATGCTCTTTTAATATATATCAATATTTGAGAATAGTTGTTCTTTGTATTTGTTGATATGTTGACGCCCATAAGTTCAACATGGCATATAAAGCTCTTAAACAATATATTTCTATTAAATTTAAAAACAAAGCAATCCATAAATGTAATATCAATTATTTCTGTACTTTTACATCATTCAATATTAATTTTGTGTTGTGGAATATTAATTTACAATTGCTTTCAAAGAATCATTGGAGTTCAAAGGAATTTTTCGAAAAAATCGATCGAATTTCAATTGTATTTTCTAAAGGCAATAATAAGATATGCTTTATCTATTGGAATTTTCAACGTTAATAAAAATAGAACACTCGTTAACAATCTGCGCAGTTTTGACTCAAATTTACTAAAACGCAAAAATAACCATACTGTGGTAAAATCTCGAGAGACAATTTATATGCTATGGATATATTTTGTGGGAGCAATTTGTATGATTTTATCATTGATTGCTTTCAGAATAGTTTGTGTTATTTTGAACATGTTACAAATTCTTCCAACTTCACCAAGGTACAGAAAATGGTACTGGCATTATTTCTTTATATTGTTTTATGATATGGCTTTTCATCAGCTAGCAGTAATGTTAATGATTCCAGTTATTTTAAATACTCTTACATTATTAATACTATTTCGCGAAAGATTTGAGCGTATTAATCAACTTAAAAATGTGCACCAATTATATCACCAGTTGACAGAACTACACACTTTATTCAATGATTATTATGGTTTTGATCTGTTTCTAATCAGCTGTCATATTTTTATTAAACTTGCAATAAATTGTAGTATGTTAATAACCTATATTTGGGCCTTAATGGATTTATTGGATGTTGAATATATATATTAAAAGAAATGTTAATGCTTTTAGAAGAGTGTGCCACGTATATATTATTTGCATGTTTGGTTGTATACTATAGCGGAGAAATAACACAAGAGGTTAGTCTGAAGTTTGTTTTGAGTTAGTGTTAGCACATAGTTTAATTTGAAAAAAAAAACTAATGCAGTATTTATTTATAAATTCAATTTTTTTAAATTATGTGCTTCAATGAAAATAATATATTATTTTAGATTACAAACATTACCAAAAGTGTCCAAAACTATTCGAAAAATGCTGATGAAGTATTAAGAGATGAAATGAGCATGTTCAGCATGCTGATCAGAAATGTTAAAGTTGAAACTTCAGCAGCTGGGATGTTTGTGATAAATAATAAGATTTTATTCTCCTTGCTAAGTGTTGTTGTTTCTTATACGATTATGTTTCAACAAGATGGTGTTATTCTTCTGTAAAGAAGTAATTAACATTAAGTCTAGTCGATAGCTTAATATCAGAACGTTTGAAAATCTTTAATGTGAATGTAGTGTTTGCTCATGTACGAAATAGCCCTAACTATTCAACAATAATATATAAATAATAGTATATTAAGTAACAAGTGACTAAACGAGGGCTTTAACAACGTTTAGCTACTAGGTGCTACCGCTATTTTTACTACTTCCATTCTAGTTCCACGTTGTGTTTTCTGTATTTCAACTTTTGTATTTTAAATCATCGAAATTTGCTCGCACACTTATACAAACTGTAAGGTTATAAGTGCTATGTCGCGCACCGGCCTATGTGCCCCTCCAATACGAGGAACAGCAGCGCCTGCTTTGACGTGTTTGACTGACGTCGCATGGCATTTTATACCGCCCTGTGCTACTCCGTAGGCAAATGCGCAGGCGCTTGCTCCGCCCTGTGCATAATACAAGTACATAATGAATATTATGTACGGCTTGGCGGTCCGTATATAAAGTAGCACTTTTTGTGTCTAAAAGCCATGGAAAATCGGTCGCTTTATAGGTGGAAGTAGAAAAAATCATTTTTTTCCATTTCTAAAACATAATCATACCTGTTCTTAATTATGAAGGAATTATTAAAGTAATCATATGACGTTCATTCTGTCCTCTTAAATGTGTCCATGGTTTCCTAATTTTTATGCAATTAATTCAGCTTACGTCCGTCCCGTGCAATTATCAAAATATGACATGGTTAGCGGTGAATTTTCCGCATCTAGTATGTGTGTCATAAATAAGTGCTGTGAATTCTTAAACGATTATTATCAAAAATGTTATTATTATGTCAGGAGTGGTAATTAACATTGAAAACATTCTTATTAACTTAATATCAATATACTAAAATAATCAATATGGTATAGAACTGTTTATATGAAGCCTTTCATACAAATTTAGTGTTGACCATGTCGGAAATAACAAAAACTCTGCAACCATTACTAAAGGTAGCAAAATTTACATTTTTCATTTCAAAAACATCTCCAAAATACCAATCTCATTTTAAATTCTACAAAATGGTAAAATATCTACTTTTTATCTTGTTTTCTTACTGTGCGTTTAAAGTCCTATTAATATTTTTCATCTGGCCTGCAAATGGGATTAACATCACCAATAATATAAAAATCCTGGTCACATCACTTTATGTTATAACCACATTTATTTCTACTACAAAAAATAATTTGATATTCAACAAATTATTAATGGAAACCGCACAACTCGACATTGCATTAAAACTACCAGTACAATACAACCGAAAAGTCCAATATTGGATATATTCAACATTTATTATTATTATAATAGTCCATATTGGTTTTGCAGCTGATAATATTTCCAACTTTCCAATACATAGGAAAATTGCTTTGAACTTTTCATGGGAGATGTACATCCAATCAATTATTCATCTTATACATGAAAATATCAACGTGGCAATGATAGTGGTACTGGTAAAAATGATTCTGTATCGATTTGAATATATTAATGAAGAATTGCATATCATATCGAAAGAAGTCAACTCTGAAGTTATATTAACAAAACTAAGATGGATACGTCCGTTGCATATGAAAGTGATTGAATTAGTTACTGTGTTTAATGCAATTTTCGGAGTGAATATACTGATGTTAATCGCTATGTTTTTTACACAGATTATTTTAAGCGGATATTTAATCATTGATATATTGGCAAGTCCTAAATTCAAGTTTTATTTCATCATTATGTGTGCATATTTAACAGTTTATATAAGTTACGTATGGATAATATGTTATGTTTGTCATCAAACCGAATATGAGGTAAATATGGTGTAAAGATGCCGAAAGGAATATGAAATAAAAAAATAACCTCTTTAAAATTAATTTTGCAGTATATGCGTACTGGTGACATGATACATGTATTAGAATGTCTCCAAATCAATGATTCCAACAAAGATATAAACAACGAGTTGATGATATTTTCACTTCAAGTATTAAATTTAAAGCAGAATTTTACGGCTGGTGATTTTTTTATTGTTAATTACACTCTGGCATTTAAAATTGTTGCTGCTTTAGTCACGTATTTGATTATTTTAGTACAATTTAAAGGTTAGTGGAAAAACTAATTAACTTAAAACTTGATAGACATATTATGTTATGTATTTTGAATAAATTAAAAACATGGCGACTTATATTCCTGAAAGAATATAAATATTACTACGTTTAATGAGTAAAGTCACGTATTTAATTATTTTAGTGTAATTTAAATGTTAGTGCACGAATTAATTAACAAATGTTTTAATTAATGTGTTTAATTTGTCAAAACTTGTTTAATCGACATAATGTGTTATCTACTCTGAATAAATACATAACATTGAAGGTTATATTCCTGAAATAATATCAATATTACTATTACTATGGTTAGTGACTAAACAATATGTCGGACGTATTGAAAACTCTTAAACCATTATTATTTTTATCAAAATTTACGTTATTCTTTTATGTACATCCATCAAAACAACAAAATTCCATATTTTCTTATTTTAAAGTATTTTTATTCTTAAAATTATTACTATTTCTTTTATTTACTCATTGTTATTTAAAGATACTTCTTATTTTCTTTATTTGGCCTTCTACGGATATCAACTTAATTCATAATATCAACATTTTACTTTCATCTGTATATATTACAACTACATTAATTACTTCAACCAAAAATAATTCGTTATTCAATCAATTGTTACTGAAAACTTCACAACTTGACAAAGAATTAAAACTACCTTTGAATTTTAACAAAAAGCTGAGTTATAGAATATATATTTCTTTTGTGGTGATAATACTAGCACATACTTGGGTTATAACTGAAACTGCGTACAATTACAAACCAACAAAAAATGCAGCATTAAACTATCCATGGGAAATAGTGGTTGAAGGAGTGATAGCACTAACAATTGAAAATGTCAACGTGGCAGTGATTATAACAATGGTAAAAATGATTCATTACCGATTTGAATACATTAATAATGAACTAAGTTCAATTTCCAAAGAAATCAATGATGAAATTATTTTGGGCAAGTTAAGATGGCTGCGGCCATTACACATGAAAGTTGGAGAATTGGTTGATTTGTTTAATAATGTCTTCGAAGTAAATTTATTAGCGATGAATGCTATGTTTTTCACACAGTTTGTTTTGAATGCGTTTTTTTTGATTATTTCCATTGAGAGAGGCATTGGTAATAAACTAATTATTTACTTAAGTATTAAAGGAGTGTATTTTCTTGGTTATGTTAGTTATATGCTGATAGTGTGTCATGTTTGTCATCAAACTGAATTAGAGGTAATCTTATGTTTTAAATTTATGGAGCATTCGACGTCTCATCAGACAACATTTGATATTCTACGGTTTTAAAACAAAACATTTAAACACGATCGGCTATGGCCGTGATTCACGTACTTTAATATACTATTTGGTATAACTCTGTTTAAAATAAAAAATTAACACTTTAAAGGAGGAAATAGGAAAATAAAAATGAGTTAAATTTACGAGCGTTTAAAAATTGGCAACGTTGAAAAATATAAAATCTATAATATAAAAATGAATTGCAAAATGTGTTGGTTAGCGCATAACTCAACATCGCCTAGACCAATTTGGCCAATTCTTTTTTTAAAATGTTCGTTAAAGGTCAAAGATGGTTTTTACGGCGAGGAAAATTTGAATAATTGCCGGGAAAACACTCAAGACTGTCCTTTTCTATAGGATAAAAGTTGGCATTGAGATTAAGTCATAGTTATAGTTAAATAGTGGAATCCTAGATGGCGCACTGAACTACATTATTAGCAATCCTTTACATAATTAATTTCTTTAAAATAAAATTATCTAGAACAATTAGAATTACAAAATTGTCTTGAACAAGAGAGTAAAAACGAATTACATTTTTATTAAACAATACTGGTACAAAATCTCGGGTAAAAGCGTGTATTAAACAATAAATAAAAATATTAAAATATAAAAAATCAAATATTGTCAGATTTGGCATAGAATGCTCCTTAGTATAAATAAATAATGCTTTTATTAAACATATAATTTGTCTTGTAGTACAAGAAAACGGGCGGAATATTACATTCTCTGGAAGAATTAATTGCTGGCAATAATTCGCGTGAAATAAACAATGAATTAATGGTATTTTCACTTCAAGTCCTACATTTCAAAATGGAATTTACCGCTGCGAATTTCTTTGTTATAAATTACACATTGTTATTTGAATTTGTTGGTGCTATTGTAGCTTATCTTATCATTTTAATACAATTTAGAGGTTAGAATGTCTTAATACTTATTATAACAACTGAGGCAATTATCATGAAATAATTATTCAAATGCATTACACTAATTAATTCATATATATTTGTTGTGATCACAGTTTACATGTGTTTATCGTGTTCCATATTTTAGTGTTTGTAATCATGTCGACAATAACAAACACTCTAAAACCTTTATTATACGCATCAAAATTGACTTTCTTTTTCTATAATTTCCAGTCAAATCACAAAAAACCCAAAACATATTTCTTATTTTTAATAATAAAACTTATAGTTTTAAGTATTTTTAGTTATTCTTTTCTTAGACTCCTCCTTGCATTTTTTATTTGGCCTATAAAAGATATTAACATCTCTAATAACATAAATCTCGTTGTGACAAGTCTCTACGTTATAATTACTCTTATAACAACTACGAAACATAACTCTGCGTTTAATAAATTTTTACAAAAAATTGTAGAAATCGATAAAGAGTTAAAACTACCTGAAAAATATAATAAACAACTATATCCATGGATATATACATTAACTAGTATTTTGGTAGCTGTACAAATAGGTTATGCAAGTGATAACTATTATCACTATCCAACAATACAAAAATATTTATTATTTCCATTTGAAATGTTTTTCCAAACAGGAATGGTTCTTTTGGAAGAAAATATAAATGTGGCAGTTGTCGTTATTCTAGTAAAAATAATCCACAAACGATTTGAGTATATAAATCAACAACTACTTGCTATTTCCAATGAAATCAACAGTAATATTATCATGACAAAACTAAGATGGCTGCGATCATTACACATGAAAGTTGGAAAACTGATCGAAATATTTAATAGTATCTTCGGCCTGAATTTATTAATGCTATTTGCGATGTTTTTTGCACAATTTATTTTAACTGGATTTTTAATGCTTCTGTTTATGATGGAAGCAAATGTCACTGATTATATGAGTATCAGGTTTGCATTTTTTCTTAGTTTCATTGGAAATGTATGGATTGTGTGTCACGTGTGCCATCAAACTCAGTTAGAGGTAAACAGATAACATAACCTTAAAAATAATTAGATTAATATAAGTTTTAATAAGTTTTTTTTTGTCCAGTACAAGAAAACAGGAGATATTTTACATTCCTTGGAATATTTGATATACAACAATGATACCAACCAAATCCACAGTGAATTGATGATATTTTCTCTGCAAGTAATAAATTTAAAACAGGATTTTACAGCTCGTAATCTTTTTACTATAAATTACTCGCTATTATTTAAAATAGTTGGCGCAATTGTAACTTATCTTATTATAATGATGCAATTTAAAGGTTAAAACCATCTATAATATAAAAATAAATCGCAAAATCTGTTGGTAAGCGCATAACTCAACAACGCCTGCACCAATTTGCCCAATTCTTATATTTAAATATGTTCGTTAAAGTCCAAGGATGGTTTTTACAGCGAGAAAAATTTGAATAATTGCCGGGAAAACCCTAAAGACAGCCCTTTTCTATAGAATAAAAGTTGGCATTGAGATTCAATCATAGTCATAGTTAAATAGTTGAATCCGAGATGGCGCGCTGAAGTGCATTATTAGCAATTCTTTATTTAATTAATTTCTTTAAAATAAAATTGCGAATCTTATTAATAGAATTGACACATACTATGTCCCGAACAAGAGAGTAGAAACGAATTACAATTGTATTAAATACTACCGGGACGAAGTCGCGAACAATAGCTAGTAAATTAATAAATTAATATCAGTAATGTGTTTGATGTAATTACATAAACAAACAGTCATTAACTATTCACAAATTAATAATTTTCTTACCCTTTGCGTTTTTCCTCATTCAATAATATTTATTTACGCGTTGATCACGACAAAAATGTCTCAAACACTACAACCACTCTTGAATCTTACAAAATATACGTTAATATTTTATTATGATCCATTAAAAATACAAAATGGAATATATACTCTATCATATAAACTGTTTTTAATCTTAAAGTTATTATTACTGATCCTCTTCACGTACTGCAACTTTAAAATCTTTTTTATTTTCTTCATGTGGGAAAATAATTCGATTAACGTGATCACAAACACAAATCTTATTGTTGCTTACTTTTACATAGTTGTATCACTTATACAAACTGCAAGAAACAATGGAACATTCAATAAAATGATTCTGATGACTTCAAAACTTGATAAAGACCTACAACTGCCTTTAAAATATCATAAAATACTCCGTCGATGGATTTATGCATTGTATGGATATTTAATATTCGTACATTTTCTGTTTATAACTGAAAATGTTTATAAACTGATTGGATATGGCCATGCCAATAGTTATCCATGGGAAATGATTGTTCATTGGCTTATAAACTTCACTTATGAGATTATCAACGTGATAATAATTACTGTCATGGTAAAAATGATACATTTACGATTTGTGCATATAAATCAACAACTACTTGATGTATCACAAGAAGTAAACAGTGAAATGTTGTTGATCAAACTAAGATGCCTGCGGCCATTACACATGAGAGTTGAGGAATTAATCGAGTTGTTTAATGAGGTCTTCGGGGTGAATTTGTTAATAATGACTACAATGTTATTTACACAGTTTGTGTTATGTGCATATTTGGTGATAGTATATATTGGTAATTCTGACAAGAATACGCTGATAATTATTTATGTAGGTATAAGAGCAATGTATTTTCTTACTTATGTTAGTTATACTTGGATTGTTTGTCATGTGTGCCACCAGGCTGAAATGCAGGTAACATAACCTAAGTTTTAATATTATAGATATTTATTTAATAAATTTAATTTTAGTTTGAAATAACTGGAGATATTTTGCATACTATAGAAGATTTGAATGTTCATAATAATATGAAAGAAGTAAATCGTGAATTGATGGTGTTTTCATTACAAATATTAAATCAAAAGCAACAATTTACAGCTGCTGATTGTTTCGATGTGAATTATACACTGTTATTTAAGATTGTGGGGGCTTTATCAACATATCTTATTATTTTAATGCAATTTAGAGCTTAATTTATCATTTTTTCTGCTTCCACCTACAAAGCGCCAGTTTTTCCACGGTTTTTAGACACAAAAAGTGCTACTTTATATACGGACAACCAAGCCGTACATAATATTCTTTATGTACTTGTATTATACACGGGACGGAGCAAGCGCCTGCGCATTTGCCTACGGAGCAGCACAGGCCGGTATGAAATGCCATGCGACGTCAGTCAAACACGTCAAAGCAGGCGCTGCTGCTGCTCGTATCGGAGTGGCACGATATGAACCGAAGCGTTACATGCGCCGGCGCGCGGCATGGCATTTATAACCTTACAGTTTGTGTAAGTGTGCGAGCAAATTTTGATGATTTAGAATACAAAAGTTGAAATACAAAATCCGCAACGTGGAACTAGAGTGGAAGTAGAAAAAATAGCGTAAGCACCTCGTGGCTAAACATTATTAATACCCTCGTTTAGCCACTTGTTACTTAATATACTATTAACTTCAAATTACAAATTGAATTTAAACTAATTAATTACTTTTAATACTATTAAATTACTAACTAAATATAATTATGAAATGTGTTGTGTGCAAGAAGAAGTAAACACTTTATTATACAATCGATAAGGTTGAACAACAAGAAAAAATTGTATTAATCATTTGTATTGGTGTCGATCATGTCGGATATAACAGAAATTTTACAACCTTTACTTATTCTTGGAAAATACACACTATTATTCTATAAAACATCATCAGAATCTTTAACAGTTACATTTTACTTTTTCTCGTTTTTAAAATTAATCGTTTTTACTCTGTTTGCATACAGTTATTTGAAAGTACTTTTCATTTTCTTTATTTGGCCGCTTAATTCTTCGACTTTAGCAACTCAAATTACACTTCTTACAACAACTGTTTATGTCATTGTAACATTTATCATAAGCACGAAGAACAACATAAAATTTAATAAATTGCTAAAAAAAACTTCAAAATTGGACAAGAAATTGAAACTATCTTCAAAATACCATAAACAACTACGTGTTTGGATAATTAAATCATTTATAGTAATGATACTGGTATATGGAACACTGATGTTCGATAAAATAATGAGCACTAAACCAAAAATGCGTTATGCGTTAAATTATCCAGCTGAAACTGTTGTCCAAGGAGTTATATCAATCATAGTGGAAAATACGAATGTGATAGTAGTAGTGGTGTTAGTAAAAATGATCCATATACGATTAGTGCAAATTAATCAACAGTTATTGAGTATTTCCAAAGAAATAAATAGAGATGTTATTTTGGTTAAACTAAGATGGTTAAGGCCATTACACATGCGAGTCACGGAATTAATCCAGATGTTTAATGATATATTCGGAGTAAATTTACTAGCGATGAATGCAATGTTTTTCGCACAATTTGTTTTACTGGGGAGTACATTAATTGATTATTTTGGGAAAACAGTCTTCCCAATTGGTTTTATTGTTATTAAATTGGCGTATCTTGTGCTTTTCTCTGGTTATGTATGGATTATTTGTCATGTATGTCATCAGACTGAACAAGAGGTGATAATTTATGTTATAAAATAATTATTTAGTTAATAATTATTTAATGTTTTGGTGTTTCAGTATAAGAAAACTGGAGATATTTTACATTTATTGGAGTATTCTCTATGTGATGATAATCAAAACGATGTTCATTGTGAATTTATGATATTTTCACTTCAGGTTTTGAATTTGGAGGAAAAATTTACTGCTGCCGATTGTTTCAATGTTAATTACACGCTTTTATTTAAGACAGTTGGTGCTTTAGTCACATATTTAATTATAATAATGCAATTAGGAGGTTAAATTTATAACAAGTATTTTATTGTTAATGATAGAGTTGATTTTATCGGAAATAATAAAAATTCTACAACTTTTATTATATTTGTTTTTTTTTTTAATATTTTATGTAAGTTTATCTAATGATTTAGCAAATCATTATGATTCTGTTCTAAATTGTTTATATTTATGAAATTATTATATTAGTTTATATTGTTTTTCCACTTCCACCACAAGTTTGATCATAGTTTTGATACACAAAAAGTAGTACTTTAAATACTGACGATCAAGGCAGTGACTAAAGTGCCATAATGAATTAATTTCATAAATTGTTATTTACAAATAAATATGAAACATTTCTTTTTGGTTTTCGAGTATAAAACGACAAAAAATTCTTTAATGTCAATGTTTTAAGCATTCAGGAATAAAATAATAATAAAATAGATTAGTAATAAAATTGGTGTAATTATACATTCTCTACAAATCTTGCTAAATATTAATGACATAAAAAGGGAAACCGTGAATTAACGATGTTTTCACTGCAAACTTTTGATTTAAACCATCAAATAACCATCAAATCACAGCTGTTGATTTCTCTAGAGTAAATTATATCTTTGCCTTAAAAGTTATTGTTGATCTAAATTCTTATTTTATTGTTTTGACGCAATTTACAGGTTAATTCAACGACAAAGTTATCAATAACATTGAACTAATTAGTTGATACTTATCTCATGTAAATAAAATAAATAAATAACTATCTTTAATTAATTAATTTTCTTCGTGTTAAGTGAATAGAATAATTAATTAATTTGTTCTCGTATCTTTAGTTCACCTCTCTTTGGAATATTGTTTCCTTTTGCGTCTATCATGTCGGATATAATAAATACTTGGCAACCTTTATTAATCCTTACGAAATACACATTATTCTTTAAATATCACAACAAACCATCCACAGTCTCCTTTAAAATATATTTGTTTCTAAAATTATTGTTCCTCATTTTTTATTTGTTCTGTTCTCTAAAAACTCTTTTTCTTTTCTTTGTTTGGCCGTCTAGAGATCTTAACATAACCAAGAAAATTAATTTTCTAGTTACCAGCTTTTACATCATCACTACAATTGTTACAACTACAATAAACAATTCAACATTCAACAAACTACTACAAAATACTTCAAAACTCGACCGGCAATTAAAACTACCCTTAAAATACAACCAAAAACTACGATTATGGATATACGCATCATTTGGGATAATATTCTTGGAATTCCTAACAATGACAACTGAAAATCTTATAAATTTCTTCGGAATTGAACAAATTGCATTATACTATCCATGGGAAATGATTATTCAACGGTATATCACCCTTACAATTGAAAATATAAACGTGGCAGTGATTGTAATAATTGTAAAAATGATTCACTTCCGTTTTGAATATATTAACGTCGAATTAAATACTCTGTCTAACGAAATCAATACTGAAGTCACCCTGACAAAACTAAGATGTTTACGGCCGTTACACAAGAGAGTTGAGGAATTAATCGAGATGTGTAATGAAATATTCGGTATCAGTCTACTTGCAATGCACGCCATGCTTTTCACACAATTTATATTAATTATGTATTTATGGATTGTTATGGCTACAGAGAGAGCATACGTTACTTCGTTCCTATTTTATTTAAGCTTAAAAGGTGTATATTTTATAGGTTATGTAATTTTTCTGTGGATATTGTGTCATGTGTGCAGTGGAGTTGAACAAGAGGTACAAGAATAATATACATAACCGAGAAATAAAAAAATTGATAACTTTGTATTTTTTTGGTGTTTTAGTATAAGAAAACAGGAGAAATAGTGCATTCCTTAGAAGATGTGATTAATAATGAGAACAACAAGAAAATAAATAGTGAATTAATGACATTTTCACTGCAAATCAGTAATTTACGGAAAGAATTTACAGCTGCTGATTTTTTCATTGTGAATTACACGCTTTTATTTAAGATTGTTGGGGCATTAGTGACTTATTTGATTATATTAATGCAATTTAGAAGTTGAATTTACATAAAATATAAGTTCTGTTACAATTTTTTGTAACCATTATTAATCACTAGCTTTAACCCGCGGCTTCGCTCGCGTTGAATCCATCAAATAAATATTAGAAATCATTATACATAGTCGAAACGGATTGATAGAAAGAATGTATATTTCACTGCTTGGCTAGGATTATCTATGTGAAAAAATTACTACATGCAATAAAGTTTTAAATTTTAGATGGAATGCTAGATGGCGTTAAAGTAGTCAATTAGCCAGATGGAGAGGTATTATTGGCTAAACAATTTCTTTATTTTATTTAAAAAAATAATTTTTTTTATTAAATTAAAAAAGTAGCCTATAACCATTCGGGGACCATCGAGGACCACTAAGAATATGTGTACGGATTTGATGTTGACGTAGCTGTCGGTAATACAGTGTGATGATACTATAGTACTTAGGTGTGAGCTTCATTGCTGGAATGCTAGATGACGTTAAAGTAGTCAAATAACCAGATGCAGAGGTGTTAGTGATTAAACAATTTCTTTATTTTATCTAAAAAAATAATTATTTTTATTAAATAAAAAGTAGCCTATAACCTATCGGGGACCACTAAGAATATGTGTACAAATTTTCATGATGATCTGTTAAGCAGTTTTTGCGTGAAAGCACGATAAACTTCAGGACATACGCATTTATAATATTAGTAAGGATTGTTGAAATATTAATCATTTTGGTTATAGGTAATATAATTTCTATCATCTTTATTATATGTATTAAATTATTTTCATCTGTGCTTATATACGAGTATACAAAAGAGAGTTTGGTTGCTAATTTGTATGTTTATTACGCTTTCACGTAGAAACTACTCAAGTTATCATCATGAAATATTATTCACATATTTTCAAGGATATTACGAATAATATAGAATACGTTTTATTAAAAACAATTCAAACTAAAGTAAGAAATTATGAGTGTTATCAAAAGAACTCAACAGTAAGGTTATGTTAATATAACATGTTTAGTACATTCAAAGCAAATACCATTTTTTTGAATGGCAACGCTATGTCTCAAATCATATCATTAAAAATATATAAATATTAGAAAACATAATCTAATCTAGCAATTTTAATGTTTTAAAAGTAATAAAACGTGAATAATTATACATTTTATGCAAAAACTTGCTAGTAATAACATAAAAACCGTGAATTAATGATATTTTCACTGCACACTTCTGATTTAAACCATCAAATCATAGCTGCTGATTTCTTTTCAGTAAACTATAGTCTTTGATTTAAAATTACTACTAGTTTAACAACTTATTTTATAATTTTGATGCAATTTAGAAGTTAATTCAGCGACAAAATTATCCATTCAATTGATCAAATTAGCTGATGCTTCTCTCATGTGAAAAGAAATTAATAAACTGCTTTAATTAATTAACTTTCTTTATGCTAAGTAATAACAATAATTAATTGATTTGTTTCACCTTTAGTACACATTTCGTATTGTTTCCTTTTGTGTCCATCATGTCGGACATATTAAAAACTTTGCAACCATTATTAATCGTTACAAAATACACTTTATTCTTTTTTAAACATCATAAAGAACCATCCACAGTCTCATATAAAATATATTTATCCCTAAAATTATTATTCCTCGTGTTTTATTTGCACTGTTGTCTTAAAGTTCTTTTTATTTTCTTTATTTGGCCATCTGCAGACCTGAACATCACCAACAATATTAATTTCGTAGTTACCAGCTTTTACGTTATAACTAACATCGCTACAACTACAACAAACAACTCAACATTCAACAAATTACTCGGAAAGACTTCAAAACTAGACCCGCAACTAAAACTGCCCTTAAAATATAATCAAAAATTACGATTATGGATATACGCATCATTTGTGATAATATTCCTGGAACTCCTAGCAATGACAACTGAAAATCTTGTAAACTACTCAGAAATGAAACGAGTTGCAATAAATTATCCATGGGAGATAATTTTTCATCAGTATGTCACGCTTACAATTGAAAATATTAACGTGACAGTGATTGTAATAATCGTAAAAATGATTCACTTCCGCTTTGAATATATTAACGCTGAAATAAATACTCTTTCTAATGAAATCAACACTGAAGTCACACTGACAAAACTAAGATGTTTACGACCATTGCACAAAAGAGTTGAAGAATTAATCGAGATGTTTAATGAAATATTCGGCATCAGTCTACTGGCAATGAACACAATGTTTTTCACACAATTTGTATTAAGTCTTTATATATTGATCGTAATTTCAACAGACAGAGGATTCAGTGGTTCACTACTATTTTATTTAAGCATAAAATGTATTTATTTTATAGGTTATGTTGCTTTCATGTGGATTGTATGCCATGTTTGGGATGGTGCTGAAAAAGAGGTAAAAACATCATAATTAACAAAACAAACTAAAAATTTTATTTTTTCTACTTCCACCTATAAAGCGCCAGTTTTTCAACGGTTTTTAGACATAATACGTTGTATTTTATATACGGGCGGCCAAGCCGTACATAATATTCTTTATGTACTTGCAATATGCACGGGACGGAGCAAGCGCCTGCGCATTTGCCTACCGAGCAGCACAAGCCGGTATGAAATGCCATGCGATGTCAGACAAACACGTCAAAGCTGGCGCTGCTGCTCGAATCGGAAGGGCACGATATTAACCGAAACGTCACATGGGCTGGCGCGCGGCATGGCACTTATAACCTCACAGTTTGTATAACTGTGCGAGCAAATTTCGATGATTTAAAATACAAAAGTTGAAATACAAAAACCGCAACGTAGAAGTAGAAGTAGAAAAAATAACGTAAGCACCTCGTGGCTAAACGTTGTTAATACCCTCGATTAGCCACTTGTTACTTAATATACTATTAATGTGTTTCAGTATGAAAAAACAGGCGAAATTGTCCACTCACTTGAAGATGTGATTAGTAATGATAACAACATGAAAATAAACAGTGAATTGATGACATTTTCACTTCAAATCATAAATTTACAGAATGAATTTACAGCTGGTGATTTTTTCATTGTAAATTACACACTTTTATTTAAAATTGTTGGTGCATTAGTAACTTATTTAATCATTTTGATGCAATTTAGAAGTTAAGCGTTAATCGTTTTCTTTGTTGATGTGTAACCTGGTATTAATGGTCTTGACCTTGTAAAAACACATAAATAAATACTCTATTCCCTAAAAATTGTGTAATTGATATCGCGGTCCCCTACTTAACTAAATAATAAAAACTAGTACAAACTGTAATGATATTTCTGTGTCACAAGTTCAATATTGTTTACTTTGACGTTGATCATGTCAGACATTACAAAAACACTCAAACCCTTGCAAATAGCAGCCAAATTTTCATTATTATTTTATAAGTTTTCTATTTTACAAAATTCAAAATCACATTCATCATCATTTCCATACAAATTATTTTTATTCATAAAATTGTTGATTTTTATTATATTTTCTTATTGTTATCTTAAAGTATATTTAGTTTTCTTTATTTTTCCTTCTACTGCAACTAATATAACAAATCACATCAATATATTAATAACAACAGTTTATATTATAACTGTATTCATCACAACAACTAAATATAACGCAACATTTAATAAATTATTACAAAAAACTTCAAAGTTCGATATTGAATTAGAACTACCATTGAAATATGATAAAAAATTACGTCGCTGGATATTCGCTTTGTTTATGTTTATAACAATAATATTAACAGCATTGTTAATAGAAAATCTTTTGAATTATCCGGTAATGAAACGCGTATCAAGAAATTATCCTTGGGAGATGTTAGCGCAGCAAGCTGTGACTCTCACAGTCGAAAATGTCAACGTGGTGATAATAGTAACAATGGTAAAAATGATCCACTATCGATTTGAATATATCAATAAACAATTGATTTCCATTGCAAATGAAGCAAATAGTGAGGTTATGTTAGATAAACTAAGATGGCTGCGGTCATTTCACTTACGCCTGGCAGAAATCCTCGAAATGTTCAACGAAGTATTCGGTGTGAATTTACTTGCAATGAATGCAATGTTTTTCACACAGTTTATTATGAGTGCGTATTTGGCAATTGCGATTTGTACGGATTACAGATACACTGGAAAAGTATTTATTATATTGGTTATTAAAGGCTCTTACTTTTTTGGGTATCTATGTTATGTTGGGTTGGTGTGTTATGTGTGTCATGAAAGTGAAGAAGAGGTAATATTATTGTATATTAAGTAACAAGTGGCTAAACGAGAGCATTACAGACGAGATTGATTGAGACCGAGCGTAGTGAGCGGTCAATCAATCGAGTCTTTAACAACGTTTAACAACGAGGTGCTTACGCTATTTTTTCTACTTCCACTCCAGTTCCACGTTGCGGTTTTTGTATTTCAACTTTTGTATTTCAAATCATCGAAATTTGATCGCACACTTATACAAACTGTAAGGTTATAAGTAGAGACCGACCGAAATTTCGGTTTCGGTTTCGGCCAGTTTCGGCCAAGAATTCTAGTTTCGGCTTCAGTTTCGGTTTCGGCTAAAAATTGGCCGAAACTTTCGGCCACACCGAAACACACTTTTCGTGAATTGTCGTGCGTCGCTCGCTTAACTTCGCGACTAATGGCGGTCGTTACTTGCCATCTCAGTTCGCTCATAGAAACTTAAATTAATATTATATTAGGTATCAAGTGACTAAACGGGGACTTTACTCACGAGATGGATTTTGTATAAAAAAAAAACTGGAAAAACCGGCGATGTGTAGGTAGTAGTAGAAAAATATGTTTATGTAAATTAGTTTCGGTTTCGGTTTCGGTTTCGGCCGAAACTGATTGCAGCGCCGAAATTTCGGTTTCGGTTTCGGTTTCGGCTAAAATCCAGTTTCGGTCGGACTCTAGTTATAAGTGCCATGCCGCACGCCGGCCCATGTGACGCTTCGGTTCATATCATGCCCCTCCGATACTAGGAGCAGCAGCG